GTAATTTGTAATGACATAATGCTCCAAACTCTTGCATTGTGTTTTGCCCCCAGCCCCAACATCGAGGAATACGTAAAAAAAAGCTGAAGCAAGGTGGTTCATCCATGTTCATCCCATACTTTATGGAGGCACACCATGGTCGTTTCGAGACTACACTCTCCATTCCTTTAATGCAAAGTCTACTTTGACATGAGCATGACATGTCGCAGCTGGAAGCTAGAAGCCTTCGCCGGACATCCCACGAACTGCTCACAACTTCCACTTTGCATTCAAAGCGGTACAGTACATCCTTCAGCCTCCCCATCCAAAGAAAATCTATCCATCAACCAGAGCCCCCCAATCAGAGTCTGCTCATAGCTATAGGCTATAGGGGTAAATAAGATTGAATAAGGGGTGTCCATTCACCACCCAACTCCCAACTGTTTGAACCGGGTCCGAAGAACTACAGCCTGTGTTTCTCCATGGGGGTTGGGTTCCCCTGCCCTTTTCCCCCCAACCAATTCCGGACCAACGTGCGCTCCCGGTCGTCCGCCGCACGAGTCGACCGTCGTCGTTTTTTGGCTTCGGTGAGCTCCGCCGACGGTCGCTTGGCCTCGAAGCGGTGAGGGCTTGGGATGGGTGGAACAAATGAGGCAGGCTTAGTCGGAACGTTGAGTGCCGAGAATTGACTAACATTAGACATCAAAATGATTGTGTGAAGTGGCTTAGATAGACAATACAGTAATTACTATACTATCAATACGATCATTATCGATATTAATCGATTATATATAGTATATTATTACATACTATATATCTGTTATGATCCTAGCAGAACTCCCACTCCTCCCCCAAAAGCATGCTGCGTCTTGCTGTGTACTCATGTACTGTAGTCACTGTAGTCTGTATGCCTCTACCTCATGGAAGGAGCCGCTTCCGGTGTGTCGACCCGCCGCTTTCTCCGCGATCGGCGTCCCTGAGGATGGCACGAGAGGTCGGGGACAAAGCTCCGGCAAGAAGGATCTCGATGGACTTCGGGGAGGCAAAATGCCGCCACCTGAGGCGGTCTAGAGGCGCACCGGTCGCGGTCCGATCTGAAGGCCGGTCTGGATATATCTCCTCACCCAAGCTAGGAAGGATGTAGACCATGTGTTTACTGGGTCCCAGCCAAGCAGATCTGAACAAAAAGAAGTGCAGCAATTCTCTTCCTGGAATATTCATTTGCGGTGTTTGTGACTGTTTGTGCTAGCAAGGAGCTCCAAACATCCTCAGGCCCTGGACCCTGGAGCCCTGTTTGAGTGCCCTACAAGGCTCCTGTTGCCTGACTGCTTACTGTGGACTGTGCACATGCTGGATGAATCTCACACTCATGATACTCATGTGTTGGTGGCCTAAGAATGAACTCACAAAAGCTCATAAAACACATCGCTAGTAGGTTGGCCCATCGCTTTCCTGCCCATGCCGGCATGTTGGGACTTGGCGCCATCTGCTTGCACCGATGTATCTCAGTGCTTGGAGTCTATTCGACCCTCACCTTCCCCGGGCCCGGTCCCCCCCGATGGGCGCCCGGTGGGATGGACCGGGTCTCCCAGTAGACGAGCGAAGTCCGACGAGCGAAGTCCGAGCCGTCGGGCTTTTCCAGCCGGGAATGTTCCACCTGCGCCAAAACGGTTGGAGCCGGGCCCGCTTCGTGGTCTCGAGAGGATGGGACGCAGGTCGTGGTCATGGAGCCACCCGAAACAAGTCCGAGAGCTAGATAGAATGGGTCCAATCACCTCTCATAGATAAAGCGAACCTCTGAGATTAAGCGAACCAACAGTTGAACAGGGATTTCACTTCGTGATCTGGAAATTGGACCTGGACTAGCGACTGGTTTGATAGAAGTCCTTTCTCCTCCGATTTGGTCAATCCCCTCATGGGTGGGTTTTGGATTTTGATTGATGATGCGTCATCTGTGTTTGACAACACCTCAGTGTGGAATTTCCAAATTTATGTGATCTGCCTAATGATTACAGTATCTCTTTATGTTTATATAGTATATAATATGTACTGTACTCCTGTCCCAATCAACAGTCATGCAACAGTGAAGCAAACCCAGGGTCCCACCAGAAACCACCGGAGACATGCTATGCTTTCACCTTTGAGCTTAGCATAAGTCTAACAAGCTCATTGTCACCTTAGACATCTTAGACTCTAGACCTGCTCTCATTGTCCAGATCCTGGTGGTTTTCGCTGGATGCAGCTCAGTCAGTTCCACTGTTTCCACGCCAGTCAGTTCCACCTCGATGCTTCGGGGTTCTGGGGTCCTGGGGTGCCTTTTTTTTGCCACGTAGCGGCATGACCCCTGTATCTGTTGGCCTCTTCCAGATCCGGATGTTCCCACTCTCGGGAGGGATTTCTCACCGGATGATGCTTCCCTTGAAGTGGCCCTTTCGAAGCGGGTGAGTCAAAACTCTTCTCCTCTAGCAACATGGATCCACATACCCTCTGAGGTGATTGGATACACTTTTACGTAGCTTTGGAGAGTCCAAGTACCTTCAAAAAAAAGGGAATTGGATCCCTGCATGGGGTAATGGATCCCTGCATGAGGTAATGGATCCCTGCATGGGGAATGGATCTCTGCATGGGGAAGCATTATTGACCTAGTTCTTTGGAGGGAGACTGAAATGATCCTATTCTGTTTTGGTCGGCAGGTGCCTTCGTGCCAACCAGCGCAAGACCACTTCGCGGTGGCGTTCCTTGTCCAGGGGGACCTGAGCGGAGCTCGGCAGGATCCCTTGGTGCTACGCAGTCCTGCGACAATGGTGCCGTTCCTGGCACCCAGGTATGCAAACATGTGTCTGGACGCCAACCCAGTATGTTTTTTCGTGAGCCACTATTTATTGGGATGTTCACCCTTCAATGTGTTTTTTTTGAGTGTGCTTGTTTGCACATCGACGCATCAATCTGTTGCAGGGACACTCCCCATTTTTCCAGGAGTCTAGTCACAAGGTTGGTGTCACTCCCGCCTCTGCACGAGAGTGGATCCATGCTTGGCACATCATGTAGACTCTAGACATAAGACTCTTGATTAATACATACGCCCCAGTTGAAGTGAACCACCTCTTCACATGGGGGAGTTTATTCATCAAGAGTCTACATCAAGAGTTGTCATCCGCAAATATCACATCTCCAAAATGCGGTGTCCACCTTTGGAACACCCCCCCGGAAAAAAAAAAACATGCTACACGAAGTCTACAACATCACCCACAAATCCAAACAGTTTACAACAAACACTCAAACAAAACAGTTACAACAAACATATAAAACAACCAGCAAACCAAAAACACTACATGGCACTTCCAGTTGGAGACCTTCCAAACGGATTCCAGCCAGGGGTCCCGCGCCCATGCAGGCACAATGTACGGCTGCGTATATTCCTCCACACCTTCATTTCGGGTGACCTGCATCAGGATGTCCGGCGCAGGAAAAGCCAAAATGGGGGGTAGTGGTGAAGAGTCAAGAGTCTACACTACTGAAGATGAGGCTCATTCGGTCTGACGAGCACATCACATGGAAGTGGATGGCATGGCCGTTGGAAAGCCTGGAAAACACATGATAATCTACAAAGGGTACACTCGGGTACACGTCTTTACGTCTGTGCACCCAGCAGCTTGCGCATGCTTGCGGAGTGGCCAAAGAACCCCTGCCTGAAGCAGGACTTGGTTGGCGTCTGAGCGCAAGGCTTCTCCCAACTGGGCCAGCGAGACTAACCGTGGTCACAACTGTCAAGGGACTTCCAATTAAAAGTAAAAAGGTCCACAAACATAGAGAACAACAAACATACACAAATGACAAAAGCCAATGCACTACTCACTGATGTTCACTATGCTTACTAGAACATGAAATTCTTCCCTCAACCTAGTCTACAATCGATTTATTCAAGGTGTCACTGTGCAGCAGCTACAGGCTACGTCTCTCCCAGGAGGCCCCACGTGCGGTAGCGCTGTGCCATTCAGCGCCAAGGCCTCGCCGCTGACGACAAACATGGGTGGTGGCCGCTGCTCCAGGAAGCTTTAGGTGGTGAGGACGTTTGTTGTTGGTGTCTCCAAAACCAATTTAGTTTGTGTATTCAAACGGAAGTGCCTCCAAACACGAAACCAAAAAAATATGCATCACTGATGCACAGCGAACTTGATATAGTGAAACCTCTCCTGTAAGCGGTCCGTTTTCTAGTTAAATAATATACAGCAAATCGGATATACATCAGTAGAAAATGGCAGAAGTACTCAAAGCAAATGCCCAAACTGCTCTCTGTCGAGGGTTTACAGTACCTGTTTACAGCAACCCGGAGATGTAACACTTGGCTGATTTGTCACCAACTAGGCAAAGGGAACCTCACCCAAAAGCTGTCTATTCACCCTGAAACGACTAGCTTTCGAGTCAAGTTATGCTGATATGCAACCTGATGTAAATCATGTTGCATGACAATGAGGACATGACGCTCCTATCAACCACTTGTTGAACATCCCGTCAAACCACGACTGTCTTCGCCCTGCGGGCACCGGTTTGGCACATCCGGACCTGGTGACGTGGTGGTTTCGGAGGGCGCCTGGAAGGCGATGTTGGGGTCATGTCGCAGCACCCGTTCGGCATAGCAAAAGGCGTTGCCATTCTCCGCCACCGCGGGGAGGACGACCTGAGACCCGCCCCCGCGGCCCGCAAAGGGTAGGACGGGAAGGGCATGTGTGTGCTGACGCGCCGCGGCAAGCAGTTTCAATCCACTATATAAGTGCATGACTGAAACTAATCTCTATGAAAGCCGCAAGAAAAGACCTAATTATTAACATATAGATTCTGAGTCTTAGTCTTAGTAATTCAGATAATTAGAGTCTAGACATGTCTTGACCCTTTCTGTGTTCTACATGAACTGCAAGTCCTTTCCATCCTCAGCATCTAAAGACTTCTTCCATGTAGATCCAAGTAGACCGTTTGGTCACCTTGGTCTCTTCGTTTAGAGCAAATTATCCAGCATGGGTCCACTAAACCCTTGCGTTCTCCCGGTCTGCAGCAGGTGACCTGCGGGGGTGCCCTGTAGGGATCTGGGTGCTTTGGCTGGGCGGCGACCACCCCATTCCCCCCTGCGCCGCCTCGGCGTCGGCGCGCAAGGTGGTATGGGCAAACTGCAGCGCCAGGCCATTCTGCTGCACCGCCTGAGACACTGGCGCGCGGGTTGTGGTGTGGAGCGTATAAAGCAGTAGGGTCACCTGGATGGAAGGTGCAGGAGTGAACAGGTGGCAGAAGGTTCCCTGCTCCGCAGGGCTTGGTTCCATGTCCGAGGGATCGGTCGCCCAAGAACCCGTCGCCTGCAAAGCGTTTCGGAAGTGTATCCAACGGGGGAATCCGATGGGAACATGGAGCAAATCCCATTGCCATGCAGTGGCTATAGCACCAACTGCCGTGCAATAATCGGAATACGCGTCCTCAAACATCCTCTTTCAGAACCAGGGAAACTGCACATTCGTAGAGGAACATGCCTTTTGAGGGTTTACGTTTCACTTCCTTGATATCTGACAAAGGAATATATTATATGGATGGTAGATGGTAGAACGTTTCCAAAATCGGACAACACAGTTAAAAAAAATGATTTGCACTAATCCCCAATAAAGCACTACAGTACCAAAACAACACAAAGGTTATCCCATAGTAATAATTCAGGAAACAACACATATTTGACACCTTTTAAAACCCCTTCCAACGAACGATGTGCCGGTCCTCCGGCTTTACCGGCTGAGACACTGTGAGCACCACGGCTTTACTCCTCTGGAATTTCTTGGCCACGTGTTGCAACCTGGGTCCGCCCGGCTTCGGAAGTCGAAGGACCGGGCGAACCGGTGAAAACGACGGGAGGGAATCCCCTCTGCGAAAATGAACCAACCAATGGGTATTGCCATCTATACCTCATACCTCGTTCTTTTTTGCTTGACTTAGACTTGGAAGTGGTCCGGCTGAAAGTTGCATTTATACTTTCTGGGGGGGCACATGGGAGACAAATTTCCAAAGGGTATACTGAATATTGGTATCTCTGGGATGCAGAAAGGAAGGGGAGCGGCACTAGGGATAGTGAGTAGACGCTGATTTTGTTGATTTTTGGATCGTTCATTTGGCGATCTTGAGGTGAACACCTAATCCCAATGGATCCACATACCTTCTGAGAGAGTGAATGGAGACGTCTTTATGAGGCCTGGATAGTCCGATTCCCAAACCGTGATGCTGCTGGGTGCCAGGCGCCATGCCGTTTTGCTCCAGGACGGCCTGGACGAAATCCTCGTCCTCCTGCACTTGTCAAACAGGATGGTAAACACGTCGCACCCGGTTCACCGAGGAAAACATATGAGCAAAACACAAAAAGTGGACCCAACTTCAGCTTCACTTATCAGCTCATGAAGGAAAACTAGTCGTCCAGTTTGTCCTTGACAAGTTCCTGCGTTTCTTGGATGGACTAAACGCAACCTTGGATGCACACAGTTCATGGCATCCAATGCAAAGGGCGGCTTTCTGGGCTACACATGGGCCGCCAACCCCTTCGCCGGGGGATCAACCATGTTTCGCATTGTTTCGCAAGGTATCCATGGCGCGCTTGGGGATGTGCGCTTTACCATTCTGGGCTCGGTCTGCAAAAACCATCAGCGCATGGTCAGCGCCGTGTTTCGTGCTGTTTAGAATGGATCCATGCTTGAAAACTCAGGTGTATCCATGAAGGTTACAGAAACATCCCGGCGCCATGAAAGCCGCGCGTGTGGTTGAGTGAGTTTGTATCGGAGTGAAACATAGTTGGAAGCTCGAAAACTGTTGTTGTCTTTTTTTAATGACGCTTTCTGATCAGTACCTAGAAAGCATCAGGATTACAGTAGGAAAGGTGGTAAAATTTGAGTCCACGAACGAGCTGTTTCGTCGTTTTCTCAGGGAAAAAGTACAAAATCAGGGGACAGTGGCACTCCTTTTCACGATAGTTTAGCAAAAGCCGAAAAAAGATCCTAACATCTCTCGGGCGTTGAAAACTCTGCTGGAGGAACCACAAGTTGGACAAGTGTAAAAACAACCTGTTGCGCGAACAAGTACCAAGTCTCAAAGTTAAAGACCGTGCAACCATGTAGACCTTTGGAAAGAACGACGACGGCGGCTATGAAATCCAAAGCTGAAACGTTTTTGACGAACCAAATCACCGAACAAAGAAAACCACGTGCTGCTTCTAACAAATCAAAGGAAACCTCGAGACCACTGAAGTCCAGGGGCCACCGGTCCTGTTCATAACATATCTTAAGACAAGTGAAAACGGTGACGATGTGGGTCCCGCATGTCTATCATACCCGCACTGGTCGCGCGCGCGCCGACACGGCGCGAGTGTTCATGCCATTGGCAGAAATATGTTGCTTTTACGGGTTTTGTCTCAGTTCCGTGCTTTCAATTGACGCTCTCTGCACTCCAAGCTCACCGGAGCCATGGACACCGGTGTCGATTCGGGGCCCGTGCCCATCTGTCGATTCGGGGCCCGTGTGCATGTCACGTGGGCATCGTTGTTTCATCTGCATCCAAACAAACGTCATGATCCGGCCCCAGAACCCGCCCGTTTTAGAAACTTTAGCACGAAGCCATTGGGAGAAGCCATATCATAATTCCCAACTCCCGGCAACACAAAAAGATCGACAAAAGATATGCCGCTTGTAGGCGCCGACATCAAGAGCAAAAAACCGCGGCTGCAAATTCTCTCGAATTCAGCGTTCAATGGCCTTTCAGGCCATCCAAAGACCATTCTCTCTCATATGGTTGACTCCTTATGGATCTGGCATTAAACCTATTGTTATATGGTCCTAGTCAACTTCAGGGTCTAGGGAATGAAACATAATTTTTTTTGTTGCTGCATTTCCTTCAAGCTAGGCTCCCTGCAACAACTCATGCAATCATGCCAAACACGCAAACGTGGGCGAGGGTGAGAACAGCGACGGGCCCATCCTGGAACCACGGCAGGGTACTCATGCAAACGGGATTCTTCTTGACGGCCTGGCGGGCTGACCAGGATTTTGTCGGATGGGTTGGGCGGCTAAGCATGCAAAAGGGAAAATATATGGAACTTTGCTGAAACAGGAGTGAATGAGCCTAATAAGGATGACAACATCCACACAACCTACGCAAAACTGTCATCAAATACTACACAAAACGCTCATGAGTGGTATAGTTGCCTGCTTAGCAGGGTAGATTTGGGGGACAAAGATAGGCGATATTCACTTGCATCCACTGTTTTTGACGACCAACGCCAAAGAAAGTGCAAACGGACGTGATCCTTGATTGTTCAACGTACCCAAAGTCTCCAAGGAGAATTTAGCTTGCCATGTCACTTGCGTTACACCCAAAGCCATGCAAATCATACCGCATCAAACAAGTGCACAGTAGACTTGCTCTTCCAGATCTGTATGAGATCATATCCTCCTTGCAGATTTGCCACTGGTTACATTGAAGAACTTTGCTGTCAATAGTGTGAGATGCGGGCAGTCAATAGTCAATTGTCACCCTCTTCTAAAGTTTATGACACGTGCCTCGGGCAACCACGTACATGTCTCTCTTGGAGGGGAAGTACAAACATGATCGAACATTGTGGAACGAAGTGAAAGCTCTCTTCTAGGCGGGTCATACTCCCTGATTTCAGGCAAATCCAGAGACTCCAAGCAACACCAGCTGGCAATAGTCCAAACATGTCCAAACTCTAACCATAAACACTCAAAAAATCTCAACAATCAACAACCACCATCAAACGACTAAACATGGACTCAAACAGAAACACCAACCAACATCACCGACTTCATCGACTTCATCGTCCGAACTTCACCTCCAGCATCAGCTCCGGAACCTGGAGTCGCCGTCTGCGGTCTCGAGTTCCGCTGTCTGCGGTCCGATCGCGGTGCGTGACGCACCCCCCAACCCGGGTCTGCTTGTTTGGGTCCATGGATCAAGCAAGTATGGTGGATTCATGAGGACCAAAGCAAGCAGACTCTAGAACTAAATCAGTTCTAGTTCTAGTCAGAAAAATATGAATCAGGACATGAGGTTCCCAAAGTTCCCTGTGTTCATCCCCCCGGAAGTTCAACTGCGAAGGATGATTCAGTTCCGCAATGATTCAACGTTAATCCGGTCGGTTAGGCCGTTTCAGTTCATTTCTCTGTCCCAAAACTCCTCACCCGAACGAAAACAACAAATGAAAGGGGAAGACGATGCCCTGAGTCATCAGTCGTCGACATCCCGAGCCGAGATCTCGCCAGGTGAAGATGTATCTCGACCAGACCAACATGACCAACATGACCTGTAGTGGTTCGTGGTCTCAACCCCGTGGATGGACGCGATCTCCAAATATATGAGGTACCTGGAAAGAAGGGGTTGAGGACTTGTGCCACAATTTGCGCTATCGACTTATGAACATTTACCTGCTGCCCACCCAGGATGCTTTACCCAAAGAAAGTGCAGGAGTATTTATGATTCTTTATGTATACTTCATTTTTGTGATTACAAGGACACGTTCCTTGAATTTCCTTTGTCATGAGGCTTTGCCATTGGGGCCATTAGAATTAACAAGCTTTGGCCACCCCTCATTCACATGATGTAAAATGTGGAAGAATGCGTCTACAAGGCTTGGGTGCATCTCTTTCTTGTTTAAACATCACATAGGATCCTTTGATATGAAGCTTGGAGGGCCAGAAGGGCGGCAGCCAAACATCCTAATTGCTCCTCATCCCTCCAGTGGACTGGAAGAGTGTCCCACCCCATCCCTCCAGACTTCACCCCCAGATCTCCCGAACCCGCGCAGCCCGCGCCACGCCACCGCCACGCCACCGCCACGCCACCGCGCCGACCGCCGCGTTCTGCCGCAGGTCCGACCACCGCGCCGGCGCCTCCCAGAGGTCGGTGGGCAAAAACCGCAGCGCCGAGGCCGTGCGGCTCAATGCCTGCTTCGGCTGACCGGTGGTGGGAGCGGTGATTGGGGAGTCGGAATCGGAGGGTTGGACCGACGAAGACCAGTGCCTTTTGAGGTGGGCTGGGGAACTCGACAACGTGACATGAACGGTATCTGGTCAGGTCTAAACAGCAAAGACTTGGAGGAAACACAGACCGTGTCTGTCCAAGTAGAGGCAAAACATTGCAAAACCAAAGCAGCGGTCGAAACCCAGATCGCCCCAGATGTCGCGCGAAGTCACGAAAAGAGGTCCTTTGGGTCCACCAAGGTCCTTTGGGTGCACAGCATGACCAAACTCCCGGATCAAACCACATCTCCTGAAGACAGACCAAGTCATGAATTTCTTCAGCGAATGCCAGTGGCCTTCAGAAGGACTTCTGGGTCTCTCTTCAGCTCTTTGTTTGCAAACTGCACTGCCTTGGCAAAGCTCCAGGAGAGCTGCCGTGGGAACCAGTGGGGTCGCCGCGGTCAGGCCACACATCTCAGTTGATTTTGGTCACACGCGTCCCAAAACCATGGGATACCGTGGGGAAAAGAACAGGACCAGGACCTCAGGACCAGGACCGTTCGTGACCTCTTTGGAGATCGTTGCAGTCTCATCCAGTGACCTTGTACAGACCATGTTTGTGACCTCGAAATCGCTATCAAGTTCGGGATTCCGTACACGTACGGTCCTGGAAACACGGAGAACAATGAGTTCGAGACGGCAACCACGCACCGTCACTTTCGAGATCCATGGAGTCCGACCGCATGGAGTCGGGTCGGGGTGTTCCGTCGTCCGATCATCTGGGCTCTGCATGGGTAGTTTGGTGCAGCGAGTCCGACGGTGTCCTGGTGGAAGTCCAGCCCGGCACCAAGTCCAGGAGTGTTTTGTTGGGCTAACTTGCTCGTCCAAATGTAGATCAAAGTAGATCTACCTGGAATTTGCATACTTCTATCTAAGGTTTGTTCTACTTTTCTTCTGTTATTTGAAAGGCAAAGTAGATCAAAGTAGAACAAAACAGTCACCCAGCTCACTTGTTTGTCGCGAAAGGCCTAGTCATCCGATCAATGCAGTAACGAATATTTAACTGATGGACATGTCATGACATTCCATGGGCCGAGCCTTTCCTGTCAGCATTCTGATCCAGAACCAATCCCTCAACCTCCTGTCCCATCTCAAATCCACCCACCCCAACCACCGAACCTCCCAAAAAAGGGCCGCCCCCCAGGCGGCAGGAATGCTCCCAGCATCCAAGCAGTCACAAGAAATGTCCTCTGGAAGGTGACCCAGGAGGGTCACCGCCCGCTTTTTCTACGTCGCCCGCCGCCGCTTGGCCGCTTTCTTTGGGGCACGTGGCGCCGCTGCCTGGCGCGGAAGGGGTAGTCCCCCGCATCAAGCCTCTCTAGCCCTCAGGCCTCCACATCCTGGCCATGTTGAGTCCCTGATGGAGTTCCAATTATTGGACATCAAATATAGCTAACATCGGGTCCTTATGTACACAGTTCAATTCCCTAGGGTCTGTCCAAAGAAAGGCAAGAAGGGTAGATTTGGGAAGTGGGTTTGGTTGTATCCTTTTTCCTTCTGCAACAAAAGCAGCTCAACCTGCGCAGCTCAACCTGTAAGGGGTCACTGGGGTCACTGTCTGACGTTTCAATGGTCTAGATCTCCACCGCGACGATGCAAAACACAATTGCATGTTACGCATGTTGATGAATGTTTGTTTGATGTTGTGAATCATTGTGAAGCAAAGCGGAGATCTAATCGCTTCAATAAAATCCCTTGAAGAACAAACTGCCTCTGATCTTCATCAAAAGGCATTCAAGGCAAAACATTTAGACGTCCCTGACATATTCTGTACATTAAAGTGCGGGAACCATTCTGTATAGCACGCACTGAAGCCTCACGCTACAAATGCATCAGTTCCCACACTTCGTGACCCTCAAACAACCTGAGCTCATCACATGACACGGAAAGCACACTCAGCCATACTCGGCCCAGATCAGGAACCCCAAATGCGATGCTTCCGAAGCACGTGCTTAATGGGTGAAATGAGAAAATCCTGGTTCATGTGTGTGGGCTGTGGGGCTTGTGATCTATAAAGAGCCATTTTGACCATCACTTGATTCACTGGTTGGAGTCAGAGGGATTTTGCCCTTGCTTTCTGCGCCGATGGAACTGAAGTGGGGTGCCAGCACTGTTGCAACAGTTACAGTAAGTGCTCAAAATCAGGCGAAGTCCTACTCCTCTTGAAGGGCATATGTTGGCCACCTAGCAATACACACCCAACGCTTTTCGGAGAACATGGCCCACGTCCCGCGTCGCGCATGGCTGAACCGCTTCCCGGGAGCATAGAAGACGATCACCGTGGTCCATGCCGCCAGGGCGAAGATCGCCGCCAGCGACTGGTAGAAGAGACCTGGGGTGATGCTGACGACGCTGACGGCCGAGCCGTGGCGGGGCGAAGAGGTGTTCTCCGTCCGTCGCAGCTGGGGTCGGAGACCCCGGGTCGAACGGAAAAGAAACGCAAAGAGATAGGAGAGGTGAAGATGGGGTGAAGATGAGGTGGTGCAGGTGCAACCTCGATTGTTGCGTGACCTCCGTGACCTCTGCCTTAGGGATCTTTAGGGCACCTTTGTTTCTATACCTGGACCCTCAAAGTACTCCCCAAAAGGTGCAAGTATGTGCAAGTATATATCTGTTTTGATGGGGTCGATCATGTCCCATGTTCCGCACTACTTTGCAGGGTTCAGGTACATACCCATATTTATCCCATATTCATATGATTGTCTAGTTAATCTCATAACAGAGATAGGATGAGGATGGATCCTATATGCATATACATTGGTTTTATAAGTGATCCCTCATGTTTAGGACCTCAATTGAGAGATCTATCGCTAGCGCACCCATCTCATTTTGCGGAGTGCTCAAGTTTGATCTACGGCCTTCGGAAAGGAACATGGACAATAGATGACAATAGGACTTTGCTGAGTGTTCCAGTCACCCCATCCACGGAGCTGCAGAGATTATGGAGGTGATGTTAAGCCTCTATCCCTGAACCCAATGGTTCCCCAACCAGCCAACATTCACATGGGCACACTGAGAAGAAAACAACTGTGACCCACCATTCTCCCAAAACCACCCCACCAAAGAACACTCAAAAGACACCCGGCTTCACCCAGCGTACCTTCGCTCCTTCGCAGACACCACCGCCCTCTCGGCCGAGGGTCCAGTGGTGAGCTCTTTGGCTCGAACGCCTTTCAAAATGCACATCGTCACCTGCGTCCGGCGACGACGATCCGGACTTCGGTCGGCTCAAGCGGTTTCGCTCCAGCTTCGAGTCCGGTAGCATAAGCGTGGCATGCCCGAAGCAATGAGCATGTCACGATGAACCTCCAAAAAAAGGATCAAGAAGGTCTCTAAAGGTACTATAAAGACCATTTCCTTGCAAATGGGTGTTATGTCATTACAGGTGTGGCGGTGGCCACGCTTCACTTCCGTTTTTTTGGGAAACTTCATTGCATGCGCTTGATTGTTTGGCTGTACGGTGGAGTGATATCCATGTTGGCTGTGCTCCGGAAACTCGGGAAAAGGCTCCTCGTCCTCCGCTATGTATGTGTTCAAAGGCAACCAATTGATAAACCCCCAATCACCGCCGGAAGGGGAAAACAACGAGCCCAAAAGTGCTGAGTCTGACCCTCCTCCTCCAGGGCACCAAGTTGTAGGCTGTGGGTGTGCAGCATTCAATGCACATGACCAGCATCAATGCCGGGTCTTTGGGGAAGAAGGACAAATGCTGCCGCAAGGTCGTCCAAAGAGCGATGCAGCCTGACCACGTGAGACGATCTGGTGGGACGATCGTCCATTCCCAAGGTCTCTCTCGGTGCATCCACGCGTCGGTGTCTGAAGGAATATTACTAGCGATGGCTCCAACCTAAGAGCGATGGCCTACCTGTAGGATTTTAAAGCAATAGAATGTGTACAGCCCATCATGTTGGGTCCAAGAGTGGTGCATGATGGGTCCTAGCCACATCAGCGGCCAAACACCTAGCCACAGCAAAGTGGCAAGCCGGCAAGCCAAACAAAAACGCCACTTCCATTACGAGCACTTTCACAGCCGCCTTTTTTACATGTGTTTGATTTGAGGCCCAACTAAGGCATCTGGTTCTTGAACATCAAGCCACCTTTTTCTTGAACAGGTCGCATGAGGTCACCGACGCGTCAGACATTGTAACGCCACCTGTCTTGGTTCAACTGGAGGCCGATCCACTTCCCCAACCCTTCAGCCAAGGAACAAGCAGGAAGGATGATGAGTCTTCCAACAATCAATGCCTCAGAGATTGAGTTATACCACGGCCATCGCAGGAATAAAGCTCTGCAAACCCTTCGACACAGTAAACCATGTGTATGATAGTGTCTATCGTGAAACCACAAGCTCACAAGCAAATGTTTACAAATAACTGGTACAAGAAGGAGGAAACAACAGGATCATTGCAGTACTAGAGCATTCAGCAGGCCCAGAAACATGTGTTTAACATTGTCTCAAAAGCAAGGCTGAGGGTGGCTTGGAATGAACAATATATGAAACAAAAATCAAACAAATGTCATGAAATCACTCAAATATCTGCCTAGGACCATTTGAAAATGAACCATGAACAACCACTGGCTACCTTTTGGCCCGCAATCAAAACACCCATGGTGAGGGCGACAACAGACCAATCCCTCAAGAAGAACACGCTGCCGTGCTGCACACAGTGGAGCATAGCCCACCACCGATGGGCGCGGAAGACCATCTGCCACAAACAAGGCCCCCACGGACAGGAGGCTGATCGCCGGGCCAGCAGTGCCCAAGGCAGACATGGCACCGAAGACTGAACCTCGACTGAACTCAGCAGGAGCTTAGCTGAGCTATAGGAGACGTGGATTTAGATCCTTCATTGTCCAGCTCTGTAACGAGGAACGCGAGGGTATTTTGCATATCATTTATATAGATCTACAGTCCATCTCGCTTTGTAAGCGAGGTGTCTTGTTTTCCTTTTGCATCGTTTTGCCTTGTTTCGCAGGGCATCTGGCAGGTTAATAAAAATGTTCCACCACCTGACCAGATCGTGTCTCTGAAAAGGATGTCAAGAACAAATAAACATGTTTAACAACTACATAGATGATGATCAGCCTGCCTATTATAAAGAAACTTACGAGACTGTTTGATCCACAGACTGCATCCTTGCCCAACTGACTCAAAGCCCAGTGACTCAAAGCACCAGAGACGAAACACCACTTCAGCCCAGGGATGAAGCCCAGAATCGCTGTCAAAATGGCCGTCCCCATTGGACGATTCAGCCAGGCAGGAACGAAGCGCCGCCAATGCTTCCTGGAGCTGCTCCCACTGCCCAGGCCGATTCGCCGCATCCAAACAAAGCACATACGCCCCCGAAAG